AAAAAGGAAATAAATTTTTGAAAAAAAAAAAATTAAATGTCGTCGGAAAAGAAGGAAGTAAAACCTTTTTGAGTGGTGGTAAAAATTTTGATAATATTCAAGAAGGAGGAGGAGGAGGAGGAGGAGAATCGAGGGGGGAAATTGTACCGGAACCTTGTAAATCTTGCAATAGGATTAAACAACCGGAAAGGTTACATAGTCATCCGGTGTTAAGTTCTACGCGAACGATGGAAGAAAATAAAAAAAAAAAAGAAATGGAAAAAAAATTTTCCGATGGAAAAACGACGACGACAACGACGACGAAAAATTCAAACGACGAAAAAGGAAAATCAAAAAAAAAAATTGATGGGAAAGAAAAAAAAAGTGCCAAAGTTTTCCAATTTCCCAAGGTAAGCAAAAAACAGAAAAAAAAATTTTTATAGAATATTAAAAATTCGTTACCGAGTAATTTGATTAACCTCCCCCCCTTCTTCCCCCCGTGTAAAATCTACACCATTAGTGACCAACTCTTAACGACCCTCCCCCCTCCTACCCCCTCAAAAAAACACACACATTAATTAAACATTTACGTTTAATTTTTCAACCTTTTCGAATATTTTTCTATGTCGTGACCCTTTTTGTGATTTAATAAAAATTTTTCATATATTTCTAATAATAATAATAATAATAATAATAATAATAATAATAATAATAATAATTTTTACTTAGGAATTTTCTTCTCTCTCATCTTCTGAAGATAATAATAATTCGACATCAAACATACCATCTAAACTAAGAAATAATTCTTCTCTCAAATTAAATAAAATTCAAAACGACGACGACGATAAGAAAAATATATGCGATTTAAAAAAGGAATCGTCTCCCGGAAAATCAGGTAGAACCTTATTTTTTTAAACAAAGCGGAAATGAATAGTTTTGGCGGTCATCAACGTAAAACAAAAAAATCATTAAAAAGCTCATCATGTCCGATATTAGAATGACAGTCATCTCATCCTTTCAATTTATGATTCATAAAAAAAATTTTATCGATTAGTTTATTGAAAATTTGATAATGATTACGCGCACACACCCACACATTTTTAAATATTGAACGTATCAAGTTTTAAATAACCGTTTCTCGTTTGCCTTATAATTGATGCGTTAAAATTTTTTTTTTATTTTATTTATTGTCACAGGAAGTGAATTCTATAAATACGTCACGGGTTGTTACGTTTGCGGAAGTCAAGTTCCGGCAAATTTAAGAATAAAACACGAAAAAGAATGCATACAAGAATGGAGACAACAAAATAGTTTTCTATCACCAAAGGATAGAAAACCGGAACCAGTGAGACCGGATTTTAGGTTTACTGGTAAGAAGAACAAAACAAACAAACAAACAAACAAACAAACTTTTTATTTATTTTATTTTTTTTGTTCGGGTTGAAAAAGAATTTTTTTCCCCGTTTTCCGGTTGTTGGATTGCTAAAAAAAAAAAAAAAGTTTAAAATGGAGTTTGAGAAAAAAAAAAAAAAAACAATTTAATGAAATGAGTTTATATGTGAAATAAATAATAATAATAATAATGACGAAAGAGTAAAGGTTCGATATAATCGAAAAAACTTGACCTTTTTAAAAAACAAAAAATTCAGGTTAAACTAATTACCTTGAAATTTTCTTTTAAAAAAAATATATATATAAATTGTAATATCGCGAATGTGGTTGTGCTGTTGTTGTTGGTTGCCTGCTCACCCCCCCCTCCCCCGTGTCACCACCATTACAACCCCCCGTGATTTATTTTCATTTTTTTTTTTTATTTATTTCGTTCGTCCCACTTTTAAAACCACCAAAAAAAAATATTTAAAGTTAAAAAAGAGAGAGAAAATCGATTAAAGGGAGATTTTTATCTTTAATTTATTGATTTTTTTATTTTATTATTCGAATTAAAATTTTTAGCCTTTAAGGTTTAGTTTTTTTTAAACCTTTTTCTGGTTTTTCTTCAATTGTTATACCTAAACAAAAAAAACATTCGGGTTCCATCCACCCTTTAAAGAAAATAATTTTTTTTTTTTTTTTCATGTTAGAGATTTGACAAGGTTTCCAAATAATTATAACGTTTATATATTCTACACGTCACGCAATTTTTGAATATGTAATTTTTATACGTTTCAAAATAATAAAAAAATCATTATTCTAGAATTTTCCTTTTCTAAATTAAATCGATGAAAATTAATTTTTATAATTGTACCTTTTTTTTTTTTTTTTCCAGAATCTGGAGATTTAGATTGCGAAGGAACCTTCGAATCGATTTGGGCAAATCATCAAGATTCTCTTGTACCTTGTAAAAAATGTGGACGAACATTTTTTCCAGATCGTATTGAAAAACATGAAAATTGTTGTAATAATTTGCCCTTGA